CTGGCAGCAGCAAAAGTAAAAGGAGTTTATGTACCTGGCCATTGTCGCAGCCAGGTTCCCAAGCAGTTGCTGCACTTAGTGCAGCAACCCAGCTAGGGAATTTTGCACTGAATGTGGCCAGGCACAGAGGGGAGTAGTGTTCCCATTTTATTTTTATTTTTTTTGTGTGAACCTCGCCATCGTCGGGGCCAGGTTCTCAAGTAGTTTACTGCACTTAGTGCAGCAAACCAGCTAGGAGCCTGGCTCTGAACCAGCCTAGTTTTAGAAGAAGGTGCACTGCTGAGGTTGAGCCTCAGCAGTAGCAGACCAGCAAGGGAGATAGTTGAATACAGCCTCCCCTTGGTGGTTTTATTGCAGGAAAAGGGCCAGGTCTTTTTTCTTGTGAATGGACCTGGCCATTTCAGCTGAGTGGGGCTGGTATGTGCCCTTGATCTCACCTGGAGATCAAGGGCCCAACCTGAGCTCGAAATTTTGGCTGAGAGCTCAGGCTGCTACCACCACTTCTCACAAGTATAAAAGCAACCCACTCCCCCAGCTGCCTCAAACTTGTGAGGCAGTGATGCTGTGCATTTGCTTGAGAGAGCAAATGCTGCATCCGGTAGAGGAGATGCTGCTAGAGGAGAGGCTGCTGGCTGAGAGAGCAGAGAGAAGTAGAGGAGAGACTGCTGCTGTGGAGGAGTTGTTCAGGAGAAAGAGGAGAAGAGTGGAGGTCTGCATAGTGAAGTGGAGGGGAGGTTATGCCCAACTCCACAGTGGACTGCATAGTGAAGTGAAGGGGAGGTGCTGCCCAATTCCATGGTGGTTTGCATGGTGAAGTTGAGGTGTGATGTTGCTTGAGGAGATGGTGGTCTGCTTGGTGCTGTAGGGGAGATGCTGCTGGAGCACCGAGCTAGCAAAAGAGAGGGAGAGATTGTTGTGGAGGAGGTGCTGCTGCTGCTGACTGGAGTGAGGGAGAGACTGTTGCTGGAGGAGGTGTTGCTGCTGTTGGAAGAGAGAGGGAGAGAGAAGAAGGTAAAGGAGGTGCTGCTGGCTACTTTAGCCAGCTAGTGCTAGGAAGAGAATAGGTGCTAGACTGCCATAGCCGGCTAGCACTGAGGTGGGAAGTGAAGCAATGAAAGGGGGAAGTACTGTTGGAGTGCAGGGAAAAAAAGAGGGGGTAAGGAGGGGAAATGCTGCTGGCTGCCATAGCCAGGTGCTCCAAGTGCTGCTGGCAGCCAGAATTACAAATTTAAAGAGGGAAAGGGCAACCGTAGCTACCTTTCTCAAGGTGAGAGAAGACTGCGACTGCAGCCATATTTTTTTTAGAGTTGAAGGAGGAGCTGCCATAGCTTGCTGCAGCAAAGGTGGAGATTGGCTGCAGCAAGAGTGAAGAGAAAAGTGCTTATTAAGAGGGGGAGATTGAAACCAGATTGGGAAGGAAGAAGGAGAAACTTTAATTTGGATTTGAGAGATGAAGGTTGGAGAAAGTGTAGCAACTGTTGAAGAAGAAGAAGGAGGGGTGGCAGCCATAGCCACCAGTTGTGAAGGAGGGGGAAAAAGGTGGTGGCCATAGTCGGCGGCCATAGTAAAAGTTGTGGAAAAGGGGAGAAGGTGAGGTTACTTCATCCAGAGATGCAGTTGAGAGCTGCATATTGAGGGAACAACTGAAATGGAGGTGGTATTGGTGATTGAAAGGAGGATTGTCGTGAGCTTGGCACGTGCAACGTAGACATTTTTTTGTGGTTCTTCTAAAAAGTTTCTTGAGTGGACTAGCAAGACACTCAAGGTCAGTAGACTCGGCCTCCCTCACTGGTACCCAAGACCCACACTATGTATGACCCTGTCTCTGAATGTTCTTGGAAATGGCAGGATAGTGGGGAGGGGTGGGTGTATGTAAATGGAGGAGACTGAAAAGGGAAAAAAAAAATATGTGCGGGTGTTTTTTTTTTTTGATGTTCTTTTTGGATGCACGTATGTGTGTGCGATGGGGCGCAAGGTAGTGGGGAGATGATGATTGCTGGTTGTGTCTCCTAAGCCCTCGCCCTTAG